TTACCACCACTTCTACCACCCATCACCACTACAGCCATCCACCACCAATACTACCTCCACCACCAACAAAACACTCTCGTTCAAGCCCCCCCCCCACTCCAGCCTCCCCACCCCCGCCTCCTCTTTCCAATAAGTCAACAGATTCCAGGGATTTCTGGGGAACCAATATCCTTACGGGGTGATGGTGAGGCAGCGGGGCTTCTTCCATTGAGGACTCCAGCAGCAGGTCCCATTCCTCTACCCATCCGGGATCTCGATTACCTGCTAATTCCTGCCCATCGTCGAGAGGTGCCGAAGGTGCCTTCCTATACGCTGCCCGCCCTCCTCACTCTTCTCCAGCCGCCCAAGTCTCTCGAAATTGATTCGTAAAGAGGCCAATGATAAGTCTTCCAGTTTTTTATCTTCTGGAGAGTTAATTTAAAGACACCGTTGGTGTTACGCTCTTGGAAACGCAGGCAAGAGCGAGCCAGTGTGTGTGTGTATGTGCCTGCGTGCTCATCTACTTACCTACCTTTTGGGCCACAGTGGGGGGCCCAACCTAGTATTTTACGTGCATGCATACAAACTTGTTCTTATGATTGTTTTACTTATTTCTGATAAGTATTAAGTATCTGAAATGTCATTATCTTTAGGAACAAAAAACAGTGAGTCATGCGGATGTCATTGTGAATATTTCCTGTGTATGCCGAGTTATTTGTTTTGTGGAGAGATCATTTTAAGACTGGAGTTCGATGGTTTGTCTCGTATATTTTTAAACTAAGATTAGGATTCAGTAGGAATAACGTCGTTCTCATCACTCTTACAATGACATGTGCCGAATTATTCATTAATAATAATAATTCCTTTTGACGAGGACAGGCAGCCTGTGTATATATGCAGTATGTTAGGTTTATATTGAGATCCCCCCAAGGTCGAACCCCTAGGATACACCCCCCCCCCCAAAACAAGCTAACTCCTGAATACCAATGCTAGGTGAAAAGAGGCATTAGGTGATAGGAAATTTACCCATTCATTTCTGTCCCTCCTTATATTCAAACCTGGGATTTCCGATTTTGAGTCGAGAACAAAGCCAACCGTACTACCGATATAAAATTGTACACCCTATCCTTCAAGAAATCCCACAATTCGCATGAAGCATCAATTACAATTATATATACCCAGGCAGGAAGGCGGGCCACCGAGACGCGGTTGAAATGGATGGCTGAATTGAGCTGCCCGCCGCCGGCGGTGAAGGTGCTCCCATCACCTGTGTCTACGCCAGGCCCCTCGCCCTGTGCCCGCAACAATATGGAGAGCAGTTAACAAAGTGAACAAAGAAGGAATGTTCAAAGCGAAGGAACCAGGGAAGACAGATCTCAGCAAGAGACGTAGATGAGCAGGAGACATGTCAAGCAACACTTCTTTAGTTTAAAAGTTTCCAGCGAGTGGAATGAGCTACGGGAAGAGTGCCCAGGAGAGGTCACGAAACAGCAGCGGAAGAAAGTACACGAAGAAACTAGGAATGAATGTCACTGTATTAACTCACAAGGGTTGGAAAAACGGAGCTAAGGAGCTAATGCTCAACCCTGTAGACACATACAGGTGAGTAAATTTCTTCCATCCCCCCCATCCCTTCCCACTATCTCATGCCCCTTCTCTCTCACAGTACTGCGGCTCGCCCCCTCCGCTGCACGTGTGTGGAAGGGACGAGAAGGCTTACACAGCCGCCTTCATCTTCGACAAGTTGACGTTCAGCATGGCAGGTCAGCAGCACCTCCTCCACTGCTTCTGCCCGCCGCCCCTCGCTCACGTCCGCGACGACGTCGTCGAGGAGGTGGTGGAGGGCGAGTTCCTTCTGGCCACACTCCACTCCTGCTCCAGGGTGAGTCCACTCCTGCTCCAGGGTGAGTCCGCTCCTGCTCCAGGGTGAGTCCACTCCTGCTTCAGGGTGAGTCCACTCCTGCTTCAGGGTGAGTCAAGCTGCTACTCCATGGAGAGTCCACTCCTGCTTCACAGTAAGTCAAGCTGCTACTCCATGGAGAGTCCACTCCTGCTTCCCAGTAAGTCAAGCTGCTACTCCATGGAGAGTCCACTCCTGCTTCCCAGTAAGTCAAGCTGCTACTCCATGGAGAGTCCACTCCTGCTCCACAGTAAGTCATGTTGCTACTCCATGGAGAGTCCACTCCTGCTCCAGTAAGTCAAGCTGCTACTCCATGGAGAGTCTCCTGCGTCAGGGAGAGAGAGTCCACTCCTGCTTCACAGTAAGACATGGAGAGTCCAACACCTCCATGTAGGGCCTTATTCACTGAGAGTGAACGACACTTGACATGCCTTCACTGTGAGTTGGGACACTTGACATCCCTTCACTGTGAGTTGGGACACTTGACAACCCTTCACTGTGAGTTGGGACACTTGACATCCCTTCACTGTGAGTTGGGACACTTGACAACCCTTCACTGTGAGTTGGGACACTTGACATCCCTTCACTGTGAGTTGGGACACTTGACAACCCTTCACTGTGAGTTGGGACACTTGACAACCCTTCACTGTGAGTTGGGACACTTGACAACCCTTCACTGTGAGTTGGGACACTTGACAACCCTTCACTGTGAGTTGGGACACTTGACAACCCTTCACTGTGAGTTGGGACACTTGACAACCCTTCACTGTGAGTTGGGACACTTGACAACCCTTCACTGTGAGTTGGGACACTTGACAACCCTTCACTGTGGGTTGGGACACTTGACAACCCTTCACTGTGAGTTGGGACACTTGACAACCCTTCACTGTGGGTTGGGACACTTGACAACCCTTCACTGTGGGTTGGGACACTTGACAACCCTTCACTGTGGGTTGGGACACTTGACAACCCTTCGGAGTGGCTCAGGGACATGTGGTCTGTGCCTGGTGTATTACGCTGTTGTAATTAGTGATACTAATAATAATACAATATTACTAATAATATCCCTGCATGATATTAAATAAACTGCTATTAAGTAAATGATGATCATTATTAGCAGTTCTTAATCGAAGTCAATGTATGACCATACAAGCAAGATGTATTTCTCTTACCGTTCTGCTTTACTAGGGAGTGTACTTTACTAATAAGGCTGCCAATTGGTTTTTGAAATTATTGGTCAACATATTAAATAATTTACGGCAGATTAAATATTTAAAAACCAAATCAGTGCATTCTAATTAGAAAAAGTCTAACTTAAAGTTTTTTAATATATACGGCAATTCCAAACCTGTATATACTGTACTTTGAAACTGCTCTTGTACTTTGAAATACTTGTGTAAAAATATTAATTCCTAAATAATAAAGACTTAATCCTTACCTATCCACACATACAGTAGGCCAATATATTGAAGGATAATAAAGATTTTAGTGTGCTTTAATACTTTTAGTTATTTATTTAAAGTACATTACTGTACTTGAAGTAATTAACGTTTTCCTATATTCAACCATAATGTTTATACCTTACATTAATATACACATTGGGAAGCCTGAATTTAATAAGGATGATAATGGACTCTATATTAACAGGGTAAGATGCGCGGCTAGGAACACTCTGGTCGCCGGTTCGAGTCACTTAATTGCACCAATTAACTTTCTCTTTAATATATATATGTCACGTTAGTGTGATTTCTTTGTGAAATAATAATTTTAATTTATACAATATACATGTAATATGTTACGGTAGTTAATTAGTGTGTACATAAGTTTTATATTGTATTAACTACTTAAAATTTTAATCTTCATAATTGCGCTTAAGTCTGAATTTTGTCATAAAAACGGTAATATTATATTTTATGACTAGTCTACGCACTTCTCTGCCTCAGGCCCGATTTCCAGAGTTTTGGAAATTGTTTTTGCATAGCTTAAGTAACCTAACTATGATAGGTTATAGGTACTTGTGCCATAAAAACACATACATAATGAAATAGGTAGCTTTAGCATTTCATATATATTCAGGAAAACTAGGCTTATTATATATATAGGCTGAGAAGTGCGTTCTGGCTATATATATATATATATATATATATATATATATATATATATATATATATATATATATATTATTAAACTGTAACTAGCTTAACAAGATTGTTACTTGTTTAGCTAAATGAATGTTTCATTTAGTCCACCCAAAAGATGGAGTATTTCATTTTATCCACCCAGTGGATGGATAAAATGCAAAAACCATAAGGGCTTTCCATTTTATCTTTCAAGGAATGGCAGGGCACATCCCCCCAAACAATGGGGGCAGGGTACACTGTCCCAAAAATCAAGAACAACAATGTAACGTGTTAGATTTAGTCTGTAAATAGATACTATTTTGTTCTACAAAGATTGCTTATCAAGTTCAAGTATGTTTATTGAGATAAGCAAGAAATACATCTCAAAGGGATAGAGTAGCTTAGGCTATTTCTACCCCCCTGACTCTTATATATTGCTTGTATGTTTATTGTGGTCTGCAGCTGCCTGTGTGTACAGAGGAGACGCCATGCAAGGAGGTGAGCCTGGGTGGGGGCACAGCCCTTGTCAACCCCAAGTGTCGCTGTCCCCGCGAGTCTTCCTGCCCAACCCTCGGCACCACCGTCGCCCCACACTCCAACAACTACTCTCAGGGCTCCGCCTACTCCGTCTTCTGCCATCGTCAGTTTTAAGTCACCATACTCCAGTCAGCCTGCTGCCAACTCCACTACTATCTTCCTCCTGCTCTGGGGCCCCCCTATGACGACAGGACATGTTTTTCATAGTCGACGCTATCAGACGTCCACCTACTGCGACTCTCTCCCTCTGGATTAAGCATTAGTCAGCGATCGCCTTGAGAGTGAAACGCCCCTCTCTCTCACTCCTAATTTTACACACACACACACACACATGACACCCCTCATCTTAATTCTTCCTAACTCACTCTTGTGGCTAACGCCGCCAAATGTCATCGTATAGTTAGCTCACAGTCAGAGAAATATCTTCTAATCCCCTCAGTCCTGAGTCACTTGCACAGGATAGACAGGATGGTCGCCGGGGGGAGGAAGTTATGGCCCTGCGGGACCCCGCTCCCTCTCAGCGCTCCACCAGATATATTGTCCAAGTCACACTTGATACACAATCTTACAAGAAAAATGTCAACAATCATTGAAAAACATTGTCGCAAAACTCATGAGTGTCTCTCTATGATCTCTATGATCACTACCGTTGCTAGGTCAACACAAGACCCCTCCCACAGTGTTGCCAGGTCAACACAAGACCCCTCCCACAGTGTTGACAGATCAACATTAGGCCTCTCCCGCAGTGTTGCCAGGCAAAGCCCACAGGCAATGGGATCCAAGGCGCGGATTCTCTAGAGTAGCACCCGAATCTTTTGTGGTGGCATTCAAGCAAACCAACAAGGAAAGATCCGAGTCATTCTCACACGAGGCGAGGCGAGGCGCCCCAAACTTTCTTGTTAATAAAACACAAGACGGAACAGTGTTACCATATACACCTGAAGGTTAATATAACATCTTTCTTTCCCGTGTTAGCATATAAAACAGTAGATTAACTGTACGTTTTGCTTATATTGTTGCCAGGTATACACATGATCCCTTCACACTGTTACCAGGGAAAATGCAGCACTCCTTGATTCACAGTTAACAGATAAACAGCTGATTTTGGAGATCTTTGTGTATGGGGCCCCCCTCAAGGTGGACCTTCACCTCCTCTATGTGGACCTCCACCTCTTCAAGGTGGACTTCATCCTCCTCCTCCTCAAGGTGGACCTCATGATCCTCTCTACCTTAAGGAGCTCTGTACCTCCACACCAGAGCCCTCTACCAAGCTTCTGTTCATTAATATTATCATCTTACGTTCAATCTTCCGTTCCTTCCGCTTCCCCCCCCCCTCACCACCACACCCCTCCCCTACTTCCCCCCCACCCCTCCACTACCCCTACCACACTCCTCCACAACCCCCCCTCCCTACTCTCTCTTCCCCAACCATTCTACAGTCCTGTTTGTTCTGGATTTGTGCATGTTGTTTTTGTTCCATTCGAGAGGCTGGATTGTCATATTTGTCTTATTCTTGTACTTTTCTGTGGCGTCTACTGCCCCGGACGCTCAGGATGGGGGGGGGGGAACCATGTTCGAACAGCCCTCCAAGACTGTTCGAACATGGTATTAATAATAACATGGTATTAATAACATGGTTAGCTGCAACTAACTTTGACACGTTTTGGGAATTTAGTTTTTTTTAAACTCATGATTCTTGAATTGTTGATTCTATAAAGAACATTTGTGATGGAGAAAACTAAACATTCTTGAAGACCAAAAACCAGGACCTTAAACAAAACATGGAAACTAGAGAATATTAGGAAAGTAACCAGTTTAACCCCTTTGATTGATTTTCAGAATTTCACAGCTCATTAAAAATTCGCAACCAACATGAAATTCTTAAAAAAAATATATAATTAACAAATAAAATTTGTAGAGTCAAGAATTTGTACAAGTTTATGAATTCGGCGAAACAAATTCAATCTCACTACCTTATACAACGTAAGACAAATGAGAAAATATTTTGAAATTCTGAAATTTCCAAAAGTGTTATCAAAGGGAGTTTTAAAAGTTGGCGTCGTGAAGAACTGTGAAGATGAGAGTCTTGTAGACGCCGGTACGACAGTCCAAGGACTCGGGTGTCGGTCTAAGCTGGTGACCGACATTTTAATAATACTGAATGAGCAATACTGAGTATGGAACAGTTGCTTTTTATCTGTTTAAAAGAGAATAAAAACGATAAATTACGTCTTGTGTTTACCTTTCTCCTATTTTCTTCAGTGATGTATTTTTTATATATATATGATGTATGTAGAGACGCGTAGCATACACAGTTATATGTACACATACACATGGAGGCATACATGCAAACACATACACCTAAAATATGTATACAAATATATACACAATTATAAGTTACTTTCCTTTATCACAGTAACTAGTTTATTGCAACCATCTATATATATATAATATTATATTATATATATATTAATATATATAATATATATAATATATATATATATAATATATAATATATATAATATATATATATATATTTATATATATTTATATTATATATATAATATATATTTATATTATATATATATATATATATATATATTATATATATAATATATATATATATATATATATAATATATATATAAATATAATATATTTAATATATATATATATATAATATATAATATATATAATATAGATATATAATAATATTATCTATATATCTGTATATATATATATATCTATATATATATATATATATATATATATATATATATATATTATATATATATATATATATAACCCTCCTTGCATACAGTCACATGTACTGCATCATCCTGCCACACAGTCACATGTGTTGTACTGAATCATCTTGCAAAACAGTGTAGGTAGTTTTGGTTCATCTGATCTTATAGAATCTAAGTAGACGGTTCATTAGTGTCTCTCTGTCTATCCATCCATC